TCCTGTTTTAATGGACCACATCCTTCAGCATTTTCCTGAGAAAAGGTGTGTGGGAGTTTATGTGGAGGATTTGCATTGCTTTGCCTTGTTTGTTTGTTCGTTTTAGATCTTAGATGTCCCAAAGTGCCCCTTTTCTACCTTAGCACTTAACTGGTGGCTGGGTATAGAATTCTTTGTTGGAAATTATTATCCCTTCAGAATTGTGAAGAAATTGCTTCATGGTCTTCCAGCTTCTAGTGTTGCTGTTGAGAAATCCAATACCATTTTGATTTTTGTTCTTTGCATGGTTCTATGCAAAGAGTGCAGAACAGAATCTTCTCTTTGTTCTGAGGTTTCTGAAATTTCATCACAATGTGCCTTGGTGTGAAGCCTAGGTTATCCATCATGATGGACACTCCATGAGTCTTTAATCTGGAAACTCATGTCATTCAGGCCTGGGGAATTTCTTAAATTATATCACTGATGTCTTCTCTGTTTCATCTGTTCTCTCTTTTTAGGAAATACATTATTCAGATGTTGAATCTCCTGAACTAGACCTCCAATTTTCTTAACTTCTATCATTTTTTATCTTTGTCTTTCTCCTTTACTTTCTGGGAAACCTTCCAACCCTTTTATTTATTTTTTAATATCTTCTATCATTTAAAAATATTTCCAAGAAATGTTAATATGTGTGTGCAAATTAGTTAGTAGTTTAAAACCTATACATACTTAAGGTACTATACAAGAAGATATGTCAAAGAAATAATCAATCCTCCCATGTTTCCTTCATATGCTACATCTATAGCTTTTCTTCTTCCTTCCTAATTACAACCCTTAAATAGAATTCGTGCCTCATATCGAATTTACCGAGTATCATAATTCCTCCAGGTGGTAAAGATACCTCGAGACAAGTGCTGGGCATAGAAGCCACAGGGCATAAATCTGCAAAGAAGTAAAAAGCTAACCTTTGCAAACAATATGGCTTCTCTCTCACTTACCAACTTTACATTTCCCTGTATGGCCCCGGAAGATGACTGGTTAGCCAGAGATGGGTAAGATTCCTCAAGGGAGGAACAACCTAAGACAGGCACAGTCGCAGGGGGGCCATCAGGTGAGAATTTGGGGATCAACAGAGGTGAGGCTCAGAACCTCACCCCCCCTGCTTTGAGAGAAATCTTCTGCATCCGTGGATGTCTTGCTGCCCTTGTCTAGCCTGGATTAATACTTAGTCCATAGGCACACACCTGATCATCTGATCATCTACATTTGCCTTCTTACAGCACTAAACTATGTTTTCTACCTTTATCTTGCATCTACCTACCACTTCAGCATTTTATTAAAAATAAAAATAATAATAATAATAGGAGAAATGTGGGATCAACATATAAATCAAGTACAAAAATCAAATGAATATTCATATTTGACCTGATGGTTTATAGGTCATATTGCATGATCAAAACCGAAAGTTTCTGTGATGAATGCCCTTGTACTGTTCACCATGTAAGAATTTATTCACTCTGTAAGAATTCGTTCACCATGTAAGAACTTGTTCGTTATGCTTCAGAAGATNCGAATATTCATATTTGACCTGATTGTTTATAGGTCATATTGCATGATCAAAACCGAAAGTTTCTGTGATGAATGCCCTCGTACTGTTCACCATGTAAGAATTTATTCACTATGTAAGAATTCGTTCACCATGTAAGAACTTGTTCGTTATGCTTCCGAAGATTGGAGACTGACGAGAATTAGGTTTGAGATGGATTAATGATTGTACATTGAGCGTTGACCCCCCTATACTGAATTTTATTGTTGTTAACAACCATTTGATCAATAAATATGAGAGATGCCCTCTCAAAAAAAAAAAAAATATTTCCAAGAAGTCTTGGTTCCCTGCATATTTATTTTTCATGACATCCTGTTCCTGCCTCATAGATACAATGTTGTCTATTTCTCTAAGGAAGTTAGTAATTGTTTTGTTTTGTTTTGTTTTCTCATCCTTATCTAGTCTCTTTCCTCCAAGTTGCTTTTTTCTGTTTGGTAAATTGATTGGCTTTGACTGTATCATATTAGAAGTTTTCCTCAGATGTCTTGAAATCCTGATTGTCAGATCATATTTAAAAGTGAGAGATTAAAAAGCTTAGTTGATGGGGTTTACCAACTGGGAGGGATCTGGTTATTCTCTTGATGGGGATAAATGTTTAGGTCCTTCCTCTTGGGCTCATCAGATTCCCTAGAAGAAGATTCTTTTCATCTGGAGTATGGATGATAAAGCCCTCTGTGTTGCATATTGGGAAGGAAATTGGGGCCAGGTCTGGGGAGCTTAACATTCAGAATATATATGTTCCTTTTACCTGCCTATTTTTCAGAATGTTTCCTAGGTTTTCAGTTATGCATGGCACTCCTTAGTCCAGAGCCCTCAATTTTAAACACTTCAGAAAACAACATGTCAGACTTCTGTTGGGGCAATGAAGGGGCAGTTGCCCAGACAAGGAGGAATAGAGGAAAGTTTTCAGTGATTTAACAATAGTACTTCTCAAATAGCGTTCACCCAATCTTCCTTGCTTTAGCCCTCCCTTTCCAGAATACCTTGTGCTGCCAGTTCCTGGTTTGTTTGTTTTTCTCTTTAAGAATCCCATGGCATAAATCATGCTATTTCTCAATTTTCCCCATTACTGACTTTTGGTTCTGCTGTCTCCAGGCTCCTAAGGCAATTACCACTTGTCCACATGCTTTCCAACTTCCAAGAGGATCTTGCTGTTGTCCTCTCTGTTCTCTCCATCTTTGTAGGCTTATGTCTTTTTTTTTGTTAGTCCCTATTTTACAGTTTTTATAGGGTCTCTAGAGGGGTCAAAATTAGATGGAATAGTCTGTTTTAAAACTTACCCTTCAGTCTGTCATTTTTCTTTGTCAAGAGACTGTAGCTACCTAGATTTCTTTCTAGTTCAGAAATAACCTTTTAAAATTGATTCCTTTCACTCATGTTTGTAAAGTCAAAACATTTCCATACCTTGGCAATGCTTTGCTCACATTCAACCCCAAGATCCATGACATTACCTCAAGGCATATGGATTTCAACTATGTAGTTGGATTGTCAGGCAGAGGATGCAACAATCTCACCCTACTTTTCTCATCTCTTTCTCTTTGTTGCCATTGTCTGGGACCATCACTAATTCTTCACATCTGAGAATTATTGGCTGGCACATAATTTACAGAAAGTTGGTGGCACTATCCCATGGTTAAGCAAACTTTGGAGAATGAGAGAGTAATGAAATAACTTGTTCCTTAGATTTAAACATGTTAAGCAATATTTCTGATATTTTTAATTCAACACACTGCCATTATTATTATTATTATTATTATTATTATTATTATTATTATTATTATTATTATTATTATTATTATTATTATTATATGTGGAAAACAATGGTGTTATGGATGCTAAGAAAATGCTGGGTATATATCCCTACATAAAATTAGGAAAACAGACAAAATCTGCTTTCACTCTCCTGGTCAGCATAAACATTTTAAATGCTTTTAAAAGGATGTTCAGGTTTTCCTAAGATTGCTTCTTCTTGATGCATTCACTCTCAGTTCAGTAGGGAGAGCCAAAAGCCTCCCTACTTTTCCAACCTCTTCCTTCCCTCTGTACCCCAGCATCCCCACCTATCTACCTAATGAGGGAAGTAGATTAGAAGACAAATTCTGACGTCTCCTCTAGTTCACAGTCCAGGCCCTTTCAGAGGCAGAGATGTCAGGGGGTTCATGGCCCCAGTCTGGAAGTCTCTGGCTCCCTCATGGTTATGGTCTGTGGCCTCCCTGAGGGCAGAGTTTGCTTTATTCTCATCACTCAAGACACACTGAATGAAGGCCATGAAGCTCCTGAGAGATGACTTCTCACTCCTGTTCCCAGCAAGAGCAGGGGCAGCCTAGAGGGATTAAGTTCCCCCCAAGAATTAAACAGAGGCTGGAGCTGGACAGGCCCTCGCATGTGCTCTGGGGTCCTGTCCCAGTCCTCCAAGGTGGTTGCAGCTGACCCTGGCCGGCCTCTGGCTGCCCACAGGCATAGGTAGCTCCAGGGAGACCCATGGAGTCATTCTGGCAGAACCTTGGGCTGCCAGCTGAGAGTGGAAGAACCCTGCCACTGCCTCTCCCTGTGGCCCTGTGGCCCTGGACTTGGTGTATGGCCTATAAGGTGGAATGAGAACCCGCAGGGCCGCAGAAGACAGGGGGCACACCTGCAGTCAGGAGGAGGGAAAGGAGCCCATGTACCATTGATTTTTACAGCCCAAAGATTGGCTTGAATGCCCCATGCCCATATTACACATACTGGTCCACAGTTCAAGGCAGGGGCCACTGCAGACCTGTTTAGGTTTCTTCTCTTGGCCCTTTCCAACTTCATTCATTCACTCATTCACTCATTCATTTGTCAAAAACTTTGCAAACAACTCCATTTGTGGAAAACCCTTCTTTTGCTCTCAGATCCTGCCTGTGTAAATTACCAACTGGCCTGGTGACCTTGTTCAGGCTGCATAGCTCAGCAAATCTGTTTCACCTGTAATGTGGAAGCGCTGCTGTGAGCATTAGAAATACTGCAGGTGACATGCCTGGAGTAGGCTGCGGGCTCACAATCCTGCAAAGAGTAACTGTAGCAACTTTAAAGTCCTGTGAGCCTCTGGCCCAAGTCAGGTAGCAGAGAAGGGCGCATAGGGGAAGAAGCCAGGGCTTGGGGAATCCACAAACAGGATTCCCTTGCAAACTGGGGCACATAATGACCTCCTAGTCTCCTAAGCAGCGCAGGGAAGGTGAACTGGCTTCCCCAGGGCCGACCTTCGCGCCTGTAGACAAAAAACCTTGATCCTCTCAGCCTTCAGAGGGAGAACTAAGCCGGGAAAGAGGTTACAAGTCCCAGTACTTGGTCAGGAGAGGCGGGCGCGGCAGGAAGGGGAGGAGAGAGAGGAGGAATGGCTCGGCCAGGTGTCGCTGCCCCTGCGTGGGGCGGAGCCTGGGCGCCCCGCCCGCGCGCGGAGAGAGGTCCGGGCTGGGGCGCAGAGACGCCGGTGCGAGGCTAGGGCTCCCGCGGCCGCTGCTCGGAACCGAGGGCCACAGTCACTGTCCCGACAGAGGCCGAGGCGTCCCGGAGCCATGGCCGGCCTGAACTGCGGGGCCACAGTTGCACTGCTGGGGGTCCTGTTGCTGGGCGCCGAGCGCCTGCGGCGCGGAGCGGGTGAGTGCGGTGCCGAGGGGCCGGTGGCGCCGAGCGGTCGAGGCGGCCCGCACGGCCGCAGCAGGCAGAGGGGAGGCGGGCGCGCTGGGCACGGAGGGTGCGGAGTGGGGCCGGGCGCGGGGCGGCGCGGGCAGGATTCACAGACGGCGCGGGGGGGCCAGGACCGCCAGGCCCCGGGCGCGCCGCGTTGGGCGCGGTGGCAACCTCGCCCTGACTCAGGCCGTCGCACGTGGAAGTAGCCCCGAGCCCGGCCGTCGTGGGGGACGAGCGCCGCGCGGGCCGAGAAGGAAAGCAGTGCGCGCGGAAGGCGCGCTCAGGGGCTCGGCCGGAGTGGGCGCGCCGCGCCCTGGGGGCTTTGCCCGGGTTCCCGGGGGCGCCCGGGCGGGGAGTCGGGAGGGAGCTGGCCTGGCCTGGCCCACCCTTGATCGCCTCCCCTGGGACAGGGGAAGGCACAGGGTAACAGTGGTTTGGAGCCGCGAAGTCCTGCCGGATCACCTTATCCACTCCGTTCTCTGAAGTTCAGGAATATTTAGTGGAAAATCAAAGTGCCCGGTGGGAGGAGGCTTCAGGGCATCCGCTTCGCGGAAGCTCTGCTCTCCCCGTCGTCCCTTGGTGGAGTGAACCCCGGGGGCGTAAGGGGGTCGGCAGAGGGGGGCGTACCAGGCCTGTATGTGTTTCGATTTGTCTCGGCTGGGGGGAGGGGAAGCCGCGTCCCAGCTGCCTGTGCCTGCAGGAGGCGCCCCGAGGGCCCTGGAAGTATTAGAACAGGGAAATAACCCGGTTTCTTCATGTAAGAACTTGATTTGAGGACTTTCCTGCGAAGAGCACAGGTTTTGTATATTTTAAAGAGCTATCCAGGGAGCGATTCGGGACTTTGATTCCCCTTTGCTGCTCCTAAGGGGAGTGTCTGTATTTGGTAGGTAGGTAGATTACCTTACGGAATAAAACCCCGTGGCTGTGGTGAACTTTGGCGCTGCGGCCACTGCCATCATTGCAAATCCAAAGGAAGACTTCCTGCTTCCTTTCTCCAGCAGCTTCGGTGACATACGGTAACCTTTAAGACCTCATTTAAACTATTGTATGCATATTTACTGTAATTAAGACTGAAGTTTCAAGGATTTTTCCTTTGAAGGAAAAAATCCATTTAAGAATGAAGAGTCATTGATTTAGTGAGTGAAAAATGTGTGTGCGCGAAAAAAAAAAGTGTGTGCGTCCACCACACTTGGGAGCTGTACTGGAGCTCTGGGAACGGCTGAGATGTTTCCGGCTATTAGTGATAAGAACTCCTCCGTAGGAATATGGTGTGTATCAAGTCATTACTGATGGAAAAAATGACAGCCTGTCCTGAACTGGCTTCTCTTACATCTCGCACTTCTCCCTGTGGCCTGGAGAACCTGCCGTTTTGGTCTCTAGTAGCTCCAATGGAATCCCTTCCCTCCAGGAAGTTCTGTTGGTCAGAACCCTGTGTCTTGGTTTGGTGTGTAAAAACGAGGAAGCCAGGAACGTTCCCATTTCACCAGCTGAATCCTTCCTGTGGTACTGGCAACTGGCCCAGTGCCGCCAGTGTGGAGCTGCCCTGAGGGCAGTACCTGTGGCTGGAGAGTCCCTGCTTTGCCTGAAGCCTTGGGGGTGCTGTAGCCTTTGAGACATTTCTGGAGTCTGTTCTGAAGAGATCGAGAAGGCCAGAGAGCCTGGCACGGTGGATTTGTTTTATAAATCCCTGAACCCTCTTAACAAAGACTTGGCAAATGAAAATGAAACCTGTGTCACTGCCAAGCTGAAGAAGAAAGTGTGCATCTTAGTGTGGTGTGTTTGTGGAAGTTTGATGTTCCCATCAGCTTCCCTACTTCCTGGAGTGAAGGAGGTTAAGTTGGAACTATGACCTTGTTAAAACGTCAACTTAGTAGTTTTCCTGGAACCATTCAGATACCAGAGTCTGGCCCAGTGACCCTATTCTTGCTGCTGCCGTTGTTCCTTGCCAGAAATAGGAGCAGACATCGAATGATGTGCTTACTCAGCCCGGGTGAGTTTGTGTGTTCATCATTCTTCAGATTCAAGTGAGGAGCTGGTAGCTGTTGTCTGGAATGTGTAACTGGCAGAACTGATGAATCCCCTACCACACTCCCCACCCACCACACACACTTACCCACAGATTTACATGACTTAAGGTCAGAGAGGGCTGCCTCCAGGTTGGCCTCAGGGTTCACTTCAGATGCCGCCGTTTCCTCCGGGATCACTGTACCCTGTCCCCAAGCCCCCACACTCCTCTAGGGGTTCTCCCAGGCCATCAGTGTAGAAGGGAATTGAAAACAATAATTAAAGTGTTTTAGGTAGTATATAGTTCTTACGGAATAATTGGCAATAAATATAACCTACATGGGAAAAAAACATTTGTGAGCAAACTCACTTGGCCATTTTTGGAGCACAGTACTCTTCTTTGTATGTGTAAAACTAAAAAAATCAGACCATCCTGTTGGTTGACTTTAACAGTCCCTTACTGTTGGACAATTAGTTTGCTATCAATTTTTCTACTAAAAATAGAATATAGGGGACTGCTTGTATTAATTTTGATAGACCTGCTCAGTGAAAAGACTCAAAATTATGTAGCACAGAATCTATAATGACATGGAACAGTATTATCTTTGTGTTCCCGAGGTTATAAAATAGTAGAAGCTGGATTTTGATATATCTGAGACTGTGTTCTTGTGGCTTGATTGTTCTGCATGTTCTTGATTTAGTTGTCCAACTAAAGCTCTGGAAACAGAATTGCTGGAATAAAGAATAGAGAAAATGTTCAGGCTTTGGGTTGTGTTTCCATGCTGCCTTGTGTGGAGCTGGTCCTGTTGTCCTGGTGTATGTTCCAGCCAGCCATGTGTGAACGCCAGTGTTGTCCCACACTCTCCTAGGCTGTCATCGTTGTTTCACTAGCATCTATAGAAGAGGCATTTTTCTCCTGGCTCAGCAAACAGTTAGTGGATATTCAAGAATCTTAAGAGCATCCCAGCTAGATGGTACTAACAGTCCAGCAGTACCTGCCCTTTTTTGCCCACCCTCCCCTCCCCCGCCAAGACAAAAAAACAGAATTCAGCCCTTCGCCTTATTACCTCAACTATGATTTTGCCAAGCTATGCTGATGTGAGTTTGGATAAGGGAGAGGCAGTGGAGTTTGCTGCTTGAAGTACCTGTGATTGAGGTTAAGGTGGATGGGGCGGGACTGCGGACCAGATCCCTGATGTGGGAGATCCATGCCGAGGCTCTCCTCCTGGGTATTAAGAAAAGTTCATACCCTTTAATTATCATTCTAAATTATAAAAATTATCCCACAATCAAATTATTTCAAACTACTTCCTACAACCTTAAAATTAGCCCATCCCCTCTTCTGGGCAGCTGGCAACATTCTAGACAACCAGACAAGGAGAGCCAAGTTCCCTCCCTCCCCTCTTTGTGGCCTTGGATTTGTATTCAGGACATCAGTGTTTAACACTGTAAACTACTACTTGTAATAGCTAAGGTATGCTGAGCAGCTACCCTGTGCCAGCCACTCTTCTGTGTATTTTACACGTAAACAACTCCTGCTTAACATGATTCCTAAAAACCATTCTGCATGAAGACACTGACTGAGGCCCTATGTCTCATTATTTCCTTTGGGAAAACAGTAACACCCCATTGCACAACAACCCGAGCCCCCAGCAGTTCCCACAGGCACTGTAAACATGGCAGTTTAACCATATGTAATTAGCAACCAATTCTATTAAATGTAAAGTGCATTAAATGTACTTCCAGATGGCCAAGCAGTTTATATGGTTCTTCACAAACAGCTGTGTGTGTAGTAACTTACTGCACCCCCTTGGTTGACCCTCAGGGCATCTCCAGTACATCAGGACACTCTACTTTCTGCATTTGCAATGTAAGTAGAGACTCACTGTGGGTCATTTTGTTAAAATGTTGTGTTGTGTTTGGAGATGTAAATAGACACTGGCCGAAAATAACTATGGTGGATGAAACTTCAGTTTGACAATGTTTAAGTAATGAAAAGCTAAGCTGTTTTCTCCTGAGAAAATGCAAATTGAGGAGGTGCTGTTGAATAGACCTGCTAGTCATTTAGCTCTTCATCCTCAAGCGAGTACTCCTCCTAACCCCATTATGTAGAAGGACATGGAGAGGTGGGATAACCTGCCCAGGGTTACCCAGCTGACATGTGGTGATCCTGAGAACCCAGCTCCCATCAGCAGTGTACCATGCCCCCTGTGCACAGTGGGGCATCTGAAGATAGCATCTGCTGGTCATCTTACAGACAGTCTGTATTCCAGACATTTTCTTTCATTTAAAAAAAACCAACCAACACTTACTGAGTGCTGTGTTCATGTTTGTTCTAGGTATGTATATGTGTTTTTAATATTTGAACAATTTTAAAACTATGCTCAGAAAAAGAATTACCTGTACATAGTAACAAAAATTCTAATAGTACAAAATCAAATCTAATAGTACAAAAAGTGTGTTCCCTTATTACTCTGACCCCAGGCCTCCTCCCAGAGGCAGCCATGATTGCTTATGCATTGTTCCTGAGCTATTCTAGGCATGTGCAAATTTGTAAATAGATGTACTTCCCTTCTTTGCACAAACAGGAGCAACCATAGTATATAATATAGGATGTGTGCCATGTTCTTCTTGATTTTTTTCACTTAGCATTCCATCTTGGTATTTACCCATATCAGAACATATGGAGCTGTCACTTCCTTTTTGACAGCTGCCTAATAATCCTGTCACAACCATCATGTTATATTTAACCAGCCCCTTATTGATGGGCTGCTTCCAGTCTTTTGTTTCTATAAGCAGAACCTTAGTGGCCATCTTTGTGGCTGAGTTTGTTGGGTGTAGACACAGTTTATCTGCATGAAATTCCTGGAGGAGGCATTACTAGGTCAAAAGATTTGTATGGAAAGGGTCAAAGAACAAATGGAGAAGAGTGAGTAACAAGTGAAATGAGTTGCCCAAGGTCA